AATTAACATTATACACACTAGATATTTTGTCTAATTTCTCCCATAAAAATGAAATAGAATACAATAACATATGTAAATATACTTATATATACAGATTTTAGTATCTGTACTTGAAAATCTATATGACGTCTGCGGCCGCCCCGCCCTGACCGCGCCGATCCCGTGCGCCCTCGAAAATCTATATGACTATTTCACTGAAGTAAATGGCTGCAAAGAGTTTCAGAATAGTGAGGCTAACTAAAATGAATTAAAGGGCACAAACCTTGACTTTTAAACAGTGTTTCCTGTATTTTCTGTTACTCTGTAGTCTAAAAGTATACATTTCCTTTGTTTCAGCATTACCAAAGTTTATTTATAATTCTTTATACTTTAAAGGTGATAAATACACGAAGATTAGCACAGTAATAGCCAATAATGTTTTTAAACAAGAAATGTAAACATTCAACGTCATCTACTCTAAGTCACAGATTAAATCCTTTCAATGACAGCAAGTTTCTTTCTCCACTATTTAAATGTCAATGAGTCATTCACCTTTATGACAGCAGGTATATTTATGAATACTACATCAAAACAGCTACACAATGTGGCCTCATAACAGGAATAAAGACTTACCTAAAATGGTTGACAACATTTGTCTGGCTAAGAAATGAAAGCACAAAGGACCCTGGCCTCCGATCACTCTCTCTTATAAGGTAACTGCCAGACTTCCCTGCCTGCCTGAGGCGTTCTTCTGCTATCGTTCTATCAAGTTTTCCATGATACCACCTAGGAAGAAAAAATATAAGAGATTAGAACAGAAATAGCAGCAATAAAGTTACTGTTGGTGGTTGAAAAACACACAAGAGGTTTTAAATACCTACATGTAACTTAAACATTTACATTTTACTCTGAACCAGTTATTGCAATTTTAACTCAATTCTTTTTAATCTCAGTCTCTTAGAAAAAAATCATTTACTCAGTTTTTAATTTGTGCTTATAAGCCGGGGCCCAATCATCTCCCACACAAATCTCTTCCATTTCTACCCATCTCCCTACTTCCGGGATTGTCTATCTGTTCAAAATGTAAGCACTTATCACAATCAAATCCTTACTTAGAAAAATAAAAGTAAGATGGAAAAATGGAAATGGATGATTAATTTACTACCTGTCTATATACTAAGGAATCAAGACTTGACATAACAAGGGCACAAGGGAACTATGAGAAAATAAAACATTTATTCCATTTTAGAGTTTGTGTCCTGTGATAGGAAAACAGAATGCTACTGCTTAAAGGCTGCTATTCTAATTTCCTATTTCAACATGAAACTGATTATTCTCTTTGGTGCTAAGATGATCTACTCAATGACCACAGATTTGAACTTAACTTCCTAAATTTATTTTAAAAACATGTGGAGAATAAATAGCACCTTTGTCCCTCTCATCTTCTTTCTCTCAGTTTAACTATTATTATATTCTACCTATGTACTAACAGACGATCTACTTTAATAACTGGCTGTAATTCTAGCATCATCCATGCTATCAGTCTATGCCTATAAAAGCCTCATAGATGGATATAAACAGAAGCATACTTAAAAATAGACTGGAATTATCATATGGACATAGTAACAAATCTACAAAGTAACTGGCATGAAATACTTTTACATTTTTGATACTTGATCCAAACATCCTTAGATACTTATAGTCTAATTTGAAACATGCAGAGGAAAACAATAAACATTCATATTACATTGATATATTTAACTATA